CTGCTGACATTATTACGAATTTCTACGTCTATTTGCGCACATTGTCAAATTCGTTTTTGAACTTTTATTTTTTTCGAAACTAATTTTGTACGGATAGTGCCGTTCCGGCGCTAACAAATATAAATTCTAAAAATTCTAAAAGAGTATCGACCGACATTTTTGGCACTTTATGTCGATGACACCTTCTTCGTTGTCAAAACATCTGATATCGAGCACCTCAAACATTAAGTGTACTCGGTTGACCCAAACATCCTATTCACGATGGAAACTGAAAAAAACAAACAAGCACGCATACTTGATGTCCTTGTGCGACGGTCTTCAACTGGACTACCGCAAACCACAGTATTCAGAATGGCCACCGAAACCAACCAAGTGCTACATGTCAATAGCCATTACCCCATGTTTCACAAACGCTGTTGCGTTCCTACTCTTTTAAAAAGAGTTGAAACACATTTCGGCACTCCGGCTGACTGAAGAGTTGAACAATGAAACCTTCACGAACTCATCCGAGCCAATGGATATCCGATCTCATATATCAAACAAAGCAAGCGCCGAGAGAACAGACGACGACCGATGCAACAACAAACTCAAAAGTGGAGGTCCAATTCCTACATCAGTGGAGTATCCGAAGCAGTCCCACGCGTGTTAAAACCCGTTGGAGTAGGCATATCCCGTCTACTTGACGCAACAAGCCGCCGCCGTGTAAAGCAAACCAAAGCAGACTGTCCCTTACCGAGACCTCTGCAGTTGCATAGACGATACGTTCCGATATCGGAGACTAAAATTGCGTAGAAGAAACAGGCCGACAATTGCAGACCCGCCTACTCGAACAAAAATTAGTGGCTCGTAGACAAGACCCAAACTCGCAGCTTGCAGCACACATTGAAGAAACTGGCCACGACTTCAACATTCAAGGAGCAACCATCGTAGGCCGAGGATACTCGAAAGATGACAGGCTGACGCTTGAGGCATGGTACTCGGATGCCAACTCCATCAACAGGCATCTGAACCTCCTCACGGCTTACAAAGTAAAACGCCATTATGTAAGCAAAGGACGGAACAAGGCCAAATTTACCATCAGTATTTTCAACGAAAAGAACCCAACTACGAACCGGCCAGAAGAGGAGGCAGTATCACCGGGAACCTCTACCCTGGGCACAAGGCATTACACTAATTACTGTTTGTGACCCCGAACGACCGCCGTCTTCTCTGACAGTTAATTAGTGTTTAACACTACAATTGCCAACCCTCCTATCCTTATCCTTTTAGGCTGATGTTTCTTTACCCATGATGACCACTGACAGGTGATTGGCCTTTGGCCACTAAAATTACCGTCCTTTCGGTTGCTGCTTCTCATCTCTGAAGATGAACTCTTGTAAGATTTCGAAAGCTCAGGACAATAAATCACTTGATCCTGTGATCGACACGTCTTCTTCCTTAGCCATGCAGATACCTTAACGCAAACTTTTTCATCCATTCGGGAACAATTCGGTCGCGATGCGCATCGCAAAGCTCGCACGTGGGATATATTCTCTACCCGAGAAGCAGCACTGTATGAGC